CCTCAAGTTGAATATATATATATTTTTTGTATTCCAGTTTAGTAACAGATATGAAGGGGAAACTGGTGAGCACAAGATAGGTAATAGGTCTCTTAATTTTCCTAGATCATATTGCATTTAGAGACTTTTCTAAAATTCTAGATGCTATATGTTTCAGAGGCACATTGACAAACTAAAATGTATTCAGAGGAGAGTGAGGGTTCTGGAAATAATCATGTATGAAGAATATTTGTTGGAACTGGAGCTGTTCTGCTAAAAAAATAAAATAGGCTTTTGGGAGATGAGAACTATTCTAGAATACTGAGATTGGCTGAGTATTCAGGGTTGACTTTGGGATGGGAGTATCATTAGCTTCCCCATAATCTCCCCTACAATCTCCCTTTTCCTTGGATGTTATAGTAGAAATGAAAGGTTTTCATTTTATTATATGTATAAATGTCAAGTAAGTTTGAGTGTTATCTTGCAATATCTCCTGATTCTAGCTACTTCCTATGATAATAGTCGCTTCCATGGCAGAGCAATCCCTCCCACCTCAAGCTTTCAGAAATAGTTTTATTTGACTAATGAGGTTCATCCTTTCTGGATTCAGAATGAAGGTCAAAATGCCCTCCAAAATGACTCCATGCCAGAGAAACCCACAAATCTGCTTTCTTGTCATCTCCATACCCTCAACATTCTTGGGCTTCTTGACTTGCTTCTTCTATCAGAGACCATGCCTCAGTCATCCGGGCTCCAAACCACAGTCACCTTTAACTCATTTTCTCCTTCATCTCTGAGATTTCATGAAGCTCCAAGTTCTGAGATGCAACCAGATTTTGTCCATCACACAGTGGCCTGGTCCAACCCAGGGACATTGACCGGAAACCCATGGCAATGGTGTGTGTATTATCAGAGTCACCTCTTAAGTGCCAGTCAGAGCTTCTGCACATGGGAGTGGGGCTGGGGAAAAAGTGGGAAGCAACTCCTTCTTTCTGATTCTGCATCAGAATATCCAACCCTGTTATATATGAAATCTTCATTCTGCAAAGGGTCTGGAAGATGTTTAAGGGAAGTCAAAATCATAAAGCCATGAGGGTGTCTCACAGTTTGAGTGTAGGTCCTAAGAGGCATCAAATCATCCCTAGAGTCCTTCCTAGCCTGAGAGATGTGACTGTGTGTCTTGTGAAGCCATGACATGAAGAAAAACTACAGATCTGACAGGAAATTCCTGTAGATGGGAATTCAGCATGGGGCAGAACATCTTGTTTTGCTATTCTCAGCCTCCTGGGTCTTCAGGGCTCAGGGCTCAAATGTTGGAGGTTAAGAAACGCAGAGGAATGTTATGACATGTGTCTGCAGGTCATTTCTTCAGATCAAGGTTTAAACAATCAGTTTCTAACATCTATATTGTGAAAAATTTTCCTAGACGAATCCTGTGGGTTGAGAGAGTATCCGGAGGTCAACATTTACTTCATTCCTCTCTTTAAAGGATGAGCTACAGTGCATTTAAAACAGTAGGGATCTGGCCTCAGGGACATCTGGCCTCAAGGTCTCTCCCCTCCCCATTACAGATGGTCTATCTTGAACATCCTAGCCAAGAAGTCTTCTCAAGAGACCCGGTGAACTTGGAGCCAGCCGTCAGACCTCTTTACAGGCCTGCATAGAGTTCCCAGCCCGTAGGAAGCCTGGCAGGAAACTCTGGGAGCTGGGGACACATGTGACCCCCTGTTCTCTCAGCTTGTGTTTCTAGGACGTAAGGTCAAAGTTGTGGAGTCTAGGGAAATCTGGGTAATGTTATGAAACACAAGCTGTAGCCTGTCCTCCTCATCCTGCCTCAGATTATCTGCTTCTGATAACCGTGTTGTGGGAATCTCTCCCAAACCAATGTGGGGAATCTTCAGGAAAGCTCTTTCACTCAACCTCACTCCAGTGTGGACAGTGTGCTTTTCAGGGATTGTCCGGAAGAGCCGGTGAACTCCAAGGACCCCTTGGCTCTGGGGAGTCTTTTTGGAGCAGAGGCTAGTCACATCTGAAGGTTTAGAAGATCCTTTAGGGAATATTCAGTTGGTCACATCGTCTTGGAGGTCTTTCCCATAGCTTCTGGACACAGGACTAGTTGCTCACTGGTGGGAAATTCTTAGTGGGACTAGAAATGAAGTTTTGCCTCTGTTATGCTGCTGGAGTCTTCTTTCTATCCAAGATTATAGGCTCTGGCTTTTATGAGATTTTTTTGCTTCCTTGTTTGGCTTTTTGGGTTTTGTTTTTGTTTTTTGCCATTTCTACTGTTTAATTAGAAATTCTTTTTAAACATTTATTAATAGTGTTATTTAATTTCTTTTTTTAGTGTTATTTAATTTCTAATAGAGACAGATATTATTGGTGCCTCCTTCATATTTCTATGGATGCCAGTCCAACTTTTTTTAGCAGCTTTATTGAAATATAATTGACATTTTACCAACTGTGTATATTTGATGTATCCAGTTTTATGGATTTCAACATAAACACACATCTATGAAACCATCACCACAATCAAGATAAAAAGCATTTCTATCACCTTCAAATTTTTTTTTCTGTAAGGGCTCTGGTGGAGGAGAACTTTTATAGCAACAACAACAACACTACTACTTATTGTGTACTTGCCCACATCCAGTGAGTGTTATATCTATTATTCGTCTCATTTTCCTGATAACAAAAACTGAGACTTAGGCAGGGCAAGAGATCTTTCTAGAGCCACACAGCCACAATATAACAAAGGGAAGATGACCTGGGTTCAGATCATCTTCCCTTTAATAATTACTCTACGTAAAATTGTCCTGTTCTCCTGACCTTGCCTTTGATACTGAGCTATGAACACTCCAACTATGATGAATTCTCCTACACAAGCTCCTGAACATTTTAAGAGGGAGAAGAGTATAATTTTTTCTTAAGTAACTCTTTTATATCCTTCACCTCATAATCTGTTGAAGAAAAGGGAAGAAATTTACCAAATTACAAGGAAGAAAGAAAGAAAAGAAAAGAGAGAAAGAGAAAGAAAGAAAGAGAAGAAAAGAAAAGAAAAGAAAAGAAAAGAAAGGAAAGAAAAGAAAAGAAAAAAGAAAAAAGAAAGAGAGGGAGGGAGTCAACACCATACTACTAATATTTTGAGACTTTTTTTGGAGTATTTACCAAAGACATAAGGTTTGAAGCATACTCAAGTAGAAATGTCAAAACTTGAAACTTGACTTGAAACTCAAGTAGTTTCTCTAACCTGGCTGAGCATGTATAGCTTGTTTAGAAATTCCAGTGGGGGTGAAGGTCAATAGGTTATAGGACTAAGGTTGGAACATGTGTGTGAAATAGAAAGAAAATGAGGTCTTGGAATTTGGAATTCTGCAAGCTGGTCTCATCTGGCTCAGGACTGTGGGCAGTTGAAGGTGCTGAAAACACAAGTGTCGTTCTGGAATGCAGGCAGAGTCCAGAGCTGGAGGGTACAGCAGTCTTGGAGTCTCTGCCTAGGATCTTCTCGGTCTCACAGTTCTGATCAAGTCACCTAGGCAAAACCAGTGGATACCGATCATGCTTCCATCAGTGACAGATAGAATCATAATTTAGAAAGTTTGAAAGAGTACAGTTAGAAGGAGAAGAGGACAGAACATCTTAACCTACTTGATGATAAGTCTTTAGTATCTAGTCCTTTAGCAATTGTCATTAACAGTATGGTGTGGGGCAGTGGAGGGATAGGAACTAGGAGGACTGGCTGTTGTTTTCTTACATATTTTCCTCAATGTCTCTTCTTTTACATCCTGGTGTAGATCTTTTTAGATAGACAATTTTGGCATCTGATTATCTTCTACGATTTGTGTTAAGAAATTTCCTATGAAAGATAGAAGAGTCAGTTTCTCAAATTTTCTGCAAATAGAATTTCAATTACACCTAAAAAAACAATTTTTGAGAGGTCCTTTGTTTCTACCACTATGATAGAAAGTTGTGCATGATTCTAAGAAAGCATACAACTTTGTTTTGACTTCTGAAGGTATATTAAGGATGCAAAAAATAGAAACATAGAACAAATAATAAGGGAAGATGTTATAGGTCTCAAAATTGTAAAGAATGATTGTGTTGGAGATAAGAGACATCTATTCCTCAGGATATTCCATTTCATGGTCCCATGATGCATGGATTTCAAACTGTAGGTCTCAACTTTTTAGTGGGTTGCAAAATTTAATTAAGTTGATTACGTCCACCATTTTAAAAATGCAGCAGAAAATATCAAAGTGTCAGTTCAGAAGGTTGAGTATTACTTTATGGACTCCCCCCCCCCAGTTATAAACATACAAATACATGCACAAGTGTATGTCATGGGTTTCTCTATAAAATGTATTTCTTCACATAGATTTAACCAAACAAGTTTCAAATGTGCTCCATGAGCCAAAGTAATCCCCAAACTAGATCTTTGTTGCTACCATTTATTAAATGCCTAAAAATTTCCAGGGCCACTAATAATGACGCTTAAAAAAACTTTTTAGGAAATTACAATAACAACATGCCCAGTGCATGAATCAGCCAGACCTCATAACAGCTAGCATTTCTTGAGGGCTGCTCATGCATTGAACGTTGTGCTGAATATTTTTCACACATTATCTAATCTACTTCTTGTCATAATGTTCTGAGGAGGCTACTATTATTCTTATTTTTCAGATGATAAGCTGAGGTTTCAAAAGGTAGAGTAACTTGTCCCTGGTCACTCAGCTAGAACTCAATCCCACACCTATCTGGGCTCCAGAGACAAAGCCTGTCATGACCATACTACATTATTTTCCAAGAACAAATCCCTCATGGAAAGCTTTGTGATTTGCAAAACTTCCTTTTGCTGTCTCTTTTGAAAGGTTCTTCAGTTAGCGCTAGGATCATTCAACCCCTTTTGATGGTTACAGAAAGCCGATAAGGGGTGTTTCTATGGTTGTGGGTTTGTAGGGTGAGGTGCTTTTGGGGGAAGTTGATTCCTGCTCTGACTGAACAGAACCTGTTTCCTCCTCCCACAGACTCTGTCCTGACAAGGACCACAGTCTCAGATTCTGAGGTAAGCCTGCCTAGCCCCTCTGAATGAATGAAAGTTAAGCTATATTGCTAAACTGCTCTCCCTCAGGAAGGAAACATGGAGACTCTAGGATCAAGATCTGGGTGTGGAGGGGCTGGTGCCAAGGGATGTGAAGTTGGGCAGAGTGTTGAGAGGGAGGCTGAAGAGTGGAGACACTTTAATCCCCACTGAGTCGGATAAAGATGGTGAGACCTGTGGGCGAGCAAGATGAAGAAGGACTCTCTTCCTTCTCCTCTTTGGAATCTTCAGGAACATCCTCAGCCTCATGCATTGTAGGACTGAGTATCAGTATTCTGAATATATAAAGAAACAAGTTAATACAGTGTGAACACTGATCTCCTCACCATAAGACAGTCAATACGTATTCTCTCCCTTTCTCCTTCTCCCACTTTCCTTCTCTCTTCCCTCCCTTACTCCCTCCTTTCTCTCTCCCCCCCAGCCTTCTTCCTTCTTTCCCCGTCCTCGCTCTCTCCACCTCCCTCCTCTTTCTCTCACCTACTCACAATACATTGTATATCTATTTATGGAAACATTCCCCTTACATAGATATATAATATATGACAAAACATACCAAAGTCTGAACAGTTTTTAGCTCTTCTTAGTAGGATTGCCAATCATTTTTATTTTTTATTGTTTTTTTTTCTTATTTTCTAAACTTTGTATAAGGAATACATCTAAGATTCATCTCCAGAAGAAGTGAAATCAAATAGCTCTTTATCAGTCATTTTCCTCTTAGAGTTTTAGAGGGAGAAGGAGGGGAGAAAGACTCATGAGGACAGGGAGTATTTGAGAGCTAACTGGGGGGTGTTAGCTGGGAAACAGGGGCTCCAAAATCTTCCCATAGTCCACTGTCACTGAGGGATGATTGGTTAAGGGCATTAGAAAAGCATAAATATAGCATTGCATTTCCTTCCCCAAATCCCTCCAGGGAAAGGACAGGGAGTGGGAGTGCAAGTGGTGGGGTGATGAGGCAGTTTCCCACGTTCTGTGTTCAGAAGGAGAAAAGAGGTTGCTTTAAATATTAGAAGGTGGGGAAATGGATATTGAACGCGAGCTGTTTCTGCACTTTTGCTTTACCTTATTTTAAAATACTATCATCATATGTATGTGTGCCCCTCACCCCACCGCCTGTGCTGATTTCAGAGGGTCTGATTCTCTAAATCTCAAACTGACCTTTTATAGAGAGCTTGTTTCATGTATGGGATTGTGTTTTTGGTTTGCAGGTGTTACTTTTGAGGAAGGGTGAAGATGTTAAATGCAGAGAAATGAGGAGTAAAGGAGAGGACAGAAAGAGGGTCTGGGGTCCTTCATCCAGTTCAAGGAACATTTAGAAGTGCTCACTCGAGACAAGCTGCTCTTCAGGGTGACTGCAAATCAAAGAAGGCTGACACCCTACCTGCCAGGAGCACAGCCCACCACAGCGGGTAGCACCCCAGCAACACATTAGAACCACCTGGGGCCTTTTGAAAAACACTGATATCAGAGCTGTACCCCAGACACCTTGATCAGATTCTCTGGGGTAGAGTTTGAGTGTCTGTATTCTTTTAGTAAGTTTTTATTTTTAATTCGAATATAGTTAACAGACAGTGTGATATTTGTTTCAGTGGACAATATAGTGATTCAACACTTCCATACAACACCCAGTGCTCATCACAAGTGCTCTCCTTCATCCCCATCATCTGTTTCCCCCATTTCTTCCATCCCCCCATCCACCTTCCCTCTGATAACCATCAGTTTATTTTCTGTAGTTTAAAAGTCTGTTTCTTGGTTTCTCTCTCTCTCTCATTTCCCTTTGCTTATTTATTTTGTTTCTTAAATTCCACATGTAGGTGAAATCATAGGGTTTTATCTTTCTGACTGACCAGTATTTTTTTTTTAAGGAGTTTATTTGACAGAGAAAGAAAGAGAGGAGCACACAAGGAAGGGGAGGGGGAGAGGGAGAAGGAGACTCCCTGCTGAGCAGGGAGTCCTATGTGGGGCTTGATCCTAGGACCCTGGGATCATGACCTGAGCTGAAGGCAGACGCATAACAACTAAGCCACCCAGGGACCTCTGACAGACCAGTATTTTTAAAAATCATTCGAAGTGACTGCAGTATGCAGCAAAGATTGAGAACAACAGTCTAAAAGCAAATGGAGAGCTAGCAGGTGGTTGCGGCTCCGTGTGCTGTGGGCTGGGAGAGGCACGTGTGAGTCCTGCTTGGTCAGGACCAAGGTGGAGGACATCGGTTTGGGCTTGGGATGAGAAGCCTCATGAAACAGTCACAGAAGAAGGAAGACTTAAGCTAAATCTGGGAGGACTAGGAGTTGACCAAATCAGACGAAAGGGGTTAGGTGCAAAAAACTCAGCCAGGGCCAAGGCCAGGAGGCCCACATTGCCACTGTATACCCTAGAGCTGTGTCAGTTGGGACAGGCAGGGTATGAATTCACTAGGGTTGCTGTAACAAAACACCGCGGATTGGGTGGCTTCAACAAACAGAGATTTATTTTTTCATGTGCAATGAACATGCAGCACAGAGCATGAAGAGGTGGTGACTTGTCCTTCTAGTGCTGCAGCCCTAAGTTGGGGCAATACAAGAAAGCCTTTCCACAGACACAGGGAGCCTTGCTAAGACTTGGGGGCCAACTGGTATGCCAGCTGGGAATGGGAAAGGGCAATTGGATCAAAAGAAACTCAGTGTAACTGGGAGGCTGGTAGTGTGTTTAGCAGAAACAGAGATGTCCATCTTTCATGGGTGAGAGGGAGTTCAGGGTAGGTTTGGTGGGAGTGAGGGGTAGAGGACCTCCAACAGAGACCTTCAGCGGACCCGCCGAGACCCAGAACTGCAGCTGGAGATAAGCTGGGGCCAGTGATCTGGAGAGAAGGCCTGCCATGGAGCGGAGTTGAAACTCTGAGCTGTTCCTGGCCCAAAGGCAATAGCAACATCAACAAAAAGGGGCAGCAGGGAGCTCCTCCATCTCCCTCCTTGTGTGCTAATCCTCTCCTGTCCTTCCCCCCACACCCCCGCCCAGAGCACAGGAGCTAGGTCTGGAGGACAAAGTTAAATGGTGTCTTGGCTTCTTCTCTAGGGCCAGCTAGGATGGCTGTGACCATTAAGGCACTGGCTCTCTCAAAGGCTGCCACGGCCTGTGGAAAGTGTTGGAAACCAGCATCTCAGGGCTGGCAGGTGGGTTGTCCTGGGAGGACTGGAAATTTGAACAGCCATCAAATGCATAGCCATGTAGTTTCCCCTAACAGATATTTCAACATTCTGCTGGGCCTCTCAGAGGAGAAAAATACGGCCTCCAGAGGTACTGGAGATTTCCATGGGTACAGAATGACTCTGAGCCTTCCTTCCTTAGGGGGTCCCTCTAAAAGTTGGCTTTCCAATGCTCCCCTCCTTTCCACAAGCAGATCCAGCCTAAAGCCTGTGCTCTGCAGTTTGGGCCACTAGGCCAGGAAAACTCCTTGGAAGATACGTGAAAACGGTACTGGATTAACAGTTAGGAGACCTGAGCACTCAGTTTCTTTCTTTCTTTTTTTTAAAGATTTTTTTTTTCTTAACTTGAGAGGGGGAAGGAGGGGCAGAGAGAGAGAGTCTTGAGCAGACTCCGGGCTGAGCACAGAGCCTGATGCGGGGCTGATCCTGAGATCAGTTGATCACAACCCCGTGATCGTGACCCTGAGATTATGACTTGAGCTGAAACCAAGAGTCGGATGCTTAACTGGCTGTGCTCCCCAGGCCCCCCATGGGTGTTCAGGTTCTAAGACACTCAGCAAACCACTTTGCAGACTCAGGGTCTGTTTCTTCATCTCCAGAATGAGAGAGGTAGACTAGAAGATCTCAAGGCTCCTTGAAACTCCAAAGTTCCATACTTTGTATGTCCTCACTGGAGCTCAGACCCAGGATCTACCTGAAATGGACAGGTCAGTCTGAAACGGATGGATTTGTGAGAATAGACAGGTGCATGGATTCTCTTTATGCTGTTTTGCCTTCTTTGGCCCCACAGGTGGTTTCCTTCCCTATTGTCCTCTGTCCCCTGATGTTTACCCAGAGAACTATAATCAACAAAAATTGCTAAATGCAATCAAGTTTTGGCTAGGTTTACTGCTGGGCAATTAAACCAAACAGTTATTCTAAGAATATATTTGTCCTTTTTCAGCCACGGGGGCACAGAGACAAACCTCTTCCATGGCAGTGGGCCCCATTTGCCAATTCACACAGGTAACAAGCAGGCTCTTTCCTTGGTCGTGGAAGTTTTCCTGCCGTGGTATGAAAGGAAGGCATTGTCAGTTTTATTATTATTTTTGAATGAAAATGTTTTGAATCATTTGTTTGATGACTCTTCCTCTAGAACTGGGTGGAGTGGTGACTAAGTTCAGGGAGGGCCTTACAGGGCAAGCCAGGCCTCCTGGTGGTTACAGGAGGACTTTTTTTCTTGAACAGCTAATACCTTACTTGACCAGTTCCAGGTGACCAAGGGACAGTCATTCCATGATCAACTGCTTAAATTTTGGTTCTTGAGATATGAACATGAAATCAGAGAATAAGAGACCCATGTTTCCTAGGGGGAAGGAAAACACTGTTGCTTCTTCATATGTAAACATACGCATTTGGTGTCTTAAGGAAGATACTGGGTAAGCATTAACCTCTGTTTTTCCACATGGTCTCCTACCAAATACTTCAGATTTCCCCATTTTATAATGAGAGGACTGTCTCAAATGTTGCTAGAGACTGGTGCTGGGCTGAGTTAGGATGTTTTGGAACACATGTACTTCCAAAGACCAGAAATAATACTATATTTTAAAAATCCTAAATTCTGCTTCTCCTATTTGTTTTTTTTTTTCTTTCTTTAGTGGAAGGGAGGGATTTTATTTTATTTTATTTTATTTTCTGTAATACTGCAACAAAAACCAAGGTATCAAAGAGATTAGGCACAGTTTTGAACCCATAGACAATATATCTTATATGGGTATAAAGTCCTAGGAGGACCATGGGGAA